CCTAAACCCTCAGCCCTAAACACAACTTCTCCCTACACTACAAAACATTTATACTGGCCCTAAACTCTATACATCTTAAACCCTAAACCCCTAGTAGGCCCTATAATCCCTTGAAGGGGCCCCCATAGTCGTCTGCACAAAGTATGCAGAGTCCATGCCTGGAGTTCTGCAGCTTCTGCTCGTGTGAAGCCTTCACGGCATCGATACACCTTCCGCAAGCAAGTGCTAAACAGAAACTAAGGCTACCTAAGGGGGAACCTGGGGCGGGTAGTGGGGGATCCCGTGAGTTTAGGATTCATCCTGGTCTGGGATCTTTCAATTTTTTGTTGAGAAAAACACCCTGGCATGGATCTCAACATGCAAGCTGGACTACGACCACTCCCACAAGAAGTTGCCGGCCCGCGGTTTAAAGAATGTCCGCAGCCCATACGGTATGTCATACGATGGTTGCACCACATGCCCTGCCTCCAAGAAGCGGTAAGCTTCTGAGAGGGTGACCGTGTTCTGGCACCAGGGTCCACATGACGCAAAGCCATGCGAAAATCTCAATGAAAACAAGGTGAAAGCAACTGTCCCATTACTATCCTGATTTCACACCATGCATGCTTGTCTCGAACTTCCTGAAAGCCAGCAATACCCTCGGGCCTTGTATGTTGGAGTAGCGGAAACTGCAGAGCTGACCGATTTCGAAGAATTTGGCATGCAGAATTGAACGAGGCTCGCTCGCCTCACCCTCGGTGCCGTGACGTTTGATCACTCCAGTGGCTTCAAGGTTTAGGGTTTGGNNGGGTTTGGAGTTAAAGGTTTAGGGTCCGATGATCAAAGCAAACGACCCTGTTGCAGCGTGAACTTAGTTTGGCACATGGGCTTGGTCAGGTTGATGTTGCAATCGACAGCAGCATCGCGCACAGCCTGCAAATACACTCCTCACATTTCCGAAAATTTGGGGTACCACTTGGGGGATTCCGTAGTATGGAAATATTGGGGTGTATGTTGGGGTCCTTTGCATGGAAGCTAACATAAATCCACAGGGCAACAAATGAATGCTGTCCCGCCTCCTTATCTGGCACGTAGCCCATGATGCGAAGCAAACCTGTCAGCAAGTCCTGCAAAAACCATTTTTTCATGGCGTAAACCCTCCACTTACGTTCAAAGGGCCTAAGTATCCGCTATTCGGGCCATATGTCCCCAATCAAGGGGATTGCACATGGATTCTAGGATATCCTAAACTTTCTAAACGTCCTTGCTGAGGATGCTCTTCAGGGTCACTTGAAAAGCCCGGACATGCGAATGCGCCAACCGCAGCAAACAGCAGTCCTCCTTATCTTGTGCAGGCGAATTTGCCAACCGATCCAGCTCATCCTGTTAGCGGCATGAAACATACTTAAGGGACCACATCACAGTGGTTTTCAAACATACATGCGCGCATATTGTACCATTGGCAACACAAATTAGTATGTATGCAGGCAGGTAGCCTCGACATTGAACGTAGTGTGTTGAAGGCATGTGAGGGATCATGAACCCAGCCTCCAAACGCTGCACCTCTTGCTCGCGGACTTTCCTCGACAATTCTCGGATGTTGTTGCTGAACGGCCAAACTGGAATGCTATTCAAAATGCCAACTCTCGTATCATGCTCAGGACTTACAAGCGTCCGCATGAAAATCAGGAACTCCGAGAAGGATAGCGTGCCGCTGCCGTCAACATCCACGTCGTCCAGCATCTTGTTCACAACCTGTCAGCACAAGCAAAAACCCTACGGTAACCCACTTCTATTGCTTTTCCCGCCCCTAACCCGAACCTCCCTTTTTTCGGTCTGAATTTTCTGCCCGCCCTGCCCCCCCCCCTCCCCACCCCTTGCTCAAATCTTTCATGCGCAGCAGCCATTGTTGAGCGCGCCTCTGGACTCATTTCGTAGCCGAGATAGCCCAAAATGGCCTTACGACCGCAACATTGTGTAACAGAAGCACGCTTGCATGAACGGGCCAAGTTCGACTTCCTGGCAAGTGCTGGACATACGCTGCAGTGCGCACCATGCAGCATTCTGTTTTAAGCGTGAGCACCCGTTATACCCGAAGCATCTTTTGTAGGATCCATGCCCTTTGCCCATGTCTACCCTCTGAAGTATTCGTCTTTGAGGACTCTGAAAAGTTTCGCAGTATAAGCGCATGGCCAGAAGTTGGTTGGTGTCAAGGGAAGCCATGTTGTCGTCGTCAAAGAGGTTGTACGCATGCTTAAACTGGCATCCAGGACAGGCAAGCATACCGGCAGGATTTTAGTAAGGGTTTGTATCATCTGTGGTAAATACTTCTACTACTGTTATTATTAGTATTTATTAGTATTGCGATTATTCATATTCTTAATGCTAGCGGGGTCAGAATTGGAATATCCTGCTCCCATGCCCGTTTTGGTTCAGTTCCGGCGAAGCATCCATGTCGTGTGGCATTTGGCCAGCATCAGGCAGCACTGCCTGCTAGCCAGGTGACACGAAACGAGCGCTTGAGATGCTTCACACTTCGCGGGCAGAAATCAGTTGGGCAAAGCCCTCCTTAGTGGACTGCACTTCTTGCACACGGTGACCCTTGGATCTTCTGTTGACTCACGTTTGCTGATGTTAGGCGGGGGGGGGGGGGGNNGTTTAAACAGGAACAGGTCTGAGGGAAAAGGCACTACAAAAAAAAGTCAGGAGTCCAAAGGGACAATGCTGGCAACTATGCCGGCTTCTACATTATCTGTTGCTTACCTTCTCGTACTACGCCCCCTATAGTATAGTAGCCTGCCATAGGTCCCCCTGTAACTTGCCTCAATGAGCCCTAACCATTCCCACACAACCCAAGTCTAAAGGGAAGCTTGTCAGTGGAGGCTAGTAAGGGAACACATGACATCTTCTGGGTTACTGATAGTAGTATACTAGGAATATATAG